AAAAATTCTACAAATAGTATTTAGAAATAGTATAAATTCATGTAATTAATTAGTTAGCAGTTAGGGTAAGCATTGTTATAGAGTTTCTAGAAAGGTTAAAGGTTAATTAGAGTTATGTAGGGGGTGGCATTAACAAAAATGGGGATAGCAATGACAGTTCTCAAAATTTAATGACATGTCTTAATGTATATATTTACAGTCTTTTTTTAAAAAAATTTTACGCGCATAATTGCATAAATTTTTTACAAAATACTTGCACATTAAAAAACTCTTGCACATGTGCATTTTACGCATGCCAATTTTAAATACTGCTAGTAATTTATAAATTAAATAGTGTATAGATTTATTACTTAGGGTGTTCATAAGCACCTCTCTCAATGGATCAAAGGCAAAATTTTAATTAGGGTGTTCTCAAGCATCGCAATCAATCAATTAAATAATGATTTTGATGACGCTCAAGCATTTCAATCAACGACGAAATTTATAGAATTAAGTGCTTGAGCATATTCTTTCTGTTTTTCGTGATCTAAGTTATACAACCTAAAAAAAAAATTTCTACTAGAACTTTAACTTCGGTGCATCAGTTTCTTTTTTAATAATTTTATTAATTTAAATCTTTTGTTGTAACAGCAATAGAATCAATCATTAGCAAAGTTGCTTTACAGAACAAGAAATAAATTTTTTTTCTGCGAATCTTAATATTTAAATTTTATTTAATGAAAAATGGAATAGCAGAATTCATCATTGGTTTGATTAAATGTTAAAATATAGTGTATTTATTTTATATTCATTTTTAAAGTATTGAATATTTATTTTAAAAGCTTTGAGAATTAAAAATAAAGTGGCTATTTTCATATTGGTTAGAAATTTGTTGAGAATTCATTGTTTATTATGTTTTATATGTAAAAAAATTAAAAGTAATGCTTAAGTGACCTTTATCAATAATAAATTTTTGAAAAAAAAGATGGTTTGTAGATTCATTGAAATGGCAACTTACTTGATTAATTTATTCAATTCTGATCACTCTTAAGCACCTCAATCAATGAGTCAAAAAATGTCAGTGAATAAATTTTACTTAGTGGAAAATATTTAAAATTAATTAACTATGTTTATCATTACAATGAATAATGCATAAATTAATAAAGTTTATTATGTAATAAATTATTTTTAATTAGTAAAAGACATTAAAGTTGTTCTCAAGCATCTGCTTCTATGCGATAGCATAGTGATTAAGATGATGCATAAGCATTACGATTAATAGACAATTCTCCAGTCAACTGAACAAAAATTTTCTTTTTTATATAAATTTTACTATAAGTGCAAATATTGGAGCTGCTCTATCTAAAACTTTTTTTTTACTAAGTAAATTATTCTTGGTCTTGTAACAAAGTTGTAAAGCTCATCAAAATACATCTAATGGTAGTAAGAACGTTAAAATCAGCTTGGTGGTTTTTGAGAAATCTTTAAAAAACTTCTTTTTTACATATAAAATTTCTTTAAAAAAAATTGATTTTTTTAAAGAAATTTTATATGTGAAAAGGAAGTTTTTAAGGATTTCTCAAGAACCACCAAGCCGATTTTAACATTCTTACTACCATTAGATGCATCTTGATGAGCTTTACAACTTTTGTTACAAGACCAAGAATGATTTACTTAGTAAAAAAAAAGTTTTAGATAGAGCAGCTCTATATTTGCACTTATAGTAAAATTTATATATAAAAAAAAATTTTTGTTCAGTTGACTGGAGAATTGTCTATTAATTGAAATAATAATTGCGATCAGTGCTTGAGTATTATCTTACCATCATTATATTACTATTGTTAAAATATTATTATTACAATATTATCATTGCTAATGTCTTTAAAAAAAATTAAATAACACCCAAAACTTCTTTTAAAATGTTAGCACCTAAGCCTTTAGCTTCAAAACTCTTAGTAATTAACCCTTTACCTTCTGAAGCTTTAACCCTGGTTATTCATCCTTCTTTAACACTAATACCATGTTGATAGCAATTACTGACATTAAATAATCCATCAACTTCTTCTATATTTCCAAGTTTTTTATAATAACTGGATGCCCTATTTTGTTTTCCTTTACTCCAATTCTACTTTTATAGCAAGATCTATTCTTGCATGTTGTATTAGTATAACTTGTTTCTGCTGATCCTTGACAGTGTCAAAATTTTTCTCTTTTATTGAAGTCTCCAGGTTTGTATTCAATTTTTATTTTTTCTTTTATACTTATGTTAACTTTATTGATTATGCTAATATTCACTACTTCTTTTATTTTCAATTTATCTTCCTTATTGTTTACATTATTTCTCTTTCCATATTTGTATTTATTAAAAATGCACAATCACTCACAATCCACTTTATCACATTGACGTTCAGCTTCTTTTGCTGAGTTTTCTCAAACAACAAAGTACTTTAATGAAAAAGTGAGTTGAACTTCATCTACCAGGTTCTTGTATCACATAGAAAGGTAGTATACAGGGTCTTTGATCCAATGTCTTTTGAATTCCACTCACTGGCTAATCACACAGAATGGGGTAATGTTTTAGGTACTTCCACCTTAACACCTCAGCAATGATGACCACACAGCAGAGCCAATTCCGATCCTTATGGTGACTCAAACACACACAGGGTAAGTATTTTATTATTAATTTATTACGTTCTTCTTGTATCGAGTATAAGTGCCTGTTAATTTATTATTTTCGCTTTGCTTATTAAATACATTATTATTGATCACACCATATTGACTTTTATCGCTGTTTTCAAAATTCTGTGTCCCTACACAATTAACAATCAACTATGGCAGAATCGATTTTTATACCCTGCATTTCCAAAATTTATAATAATTATTAAGATGCAGGGTATGAAAAT